CTGGGTCCCGCGCCGCTGCCGCGGCTTCCCGGCGAGGTGGGGGAGACCTTCGCCCGCGTTGCCGGACTTCCGAGGAGACCCTTGTTTTTCCGCCGCCGAGGCTGAGAGACTCTGGAATCGAAGCGTCAGAGGAGGTGAAGTGAACCCTCTGCGACTCCTCGGATCTGGGCCGGCTCCCTTTGGGGGCGGGAGACCTCACCGGAGCATCCCACGGAGGGGCAGGAATGGAAGACCCCACCTTGCATCCTCTCTGCAGCGCTGCTTTCCCGATCCACCCGTAGGAATGAAGAGGAGTCTGGTAATAACCCGAGGCAAGGAAAATATCACCGGACACACACTAGTGATCGTTTGGGGGGCCACACACGTTTCTGAATGTAATTGGACAAGCGTGAAAGAGGTGCCCTATTAAAAAAGCACAACAAGCCTTTAAGAGGAGAAAAATAGAATTGCCCCGTTTTTGCCAAGATTTTGAAGACTGTTCCATGTATTGCACATCTGACATAAGATGAGAACTTTGTAAAATATCGTGTCTAAGAGCGTAAACAATGACTACCCCAGCCCTGCTGCCCCTGTCTGGACGAAGGATACCACCTCTGAACTTGGGGCCGCCTTCCTTCCCACATCACAGGGCTACCTTGAGACTTTCTGAGAAGTTTATCCTCCTCCTTATTCTAAGTGCCTTCATCACCCTGTGTTTTGGGGCATTCTTCTTCCTTCCAGACTCTTCAAAACACAAACGCTTTGATCTGGGTTTGGAAGATGTGTTAATTCCTCATGTAGACGCCAGCAAAGGGGCTAAACACCCTGGAGTCTTCCTGATTCATGGACCGGATGAACACAGACACAGGTTTGTTTATTTCAGAAGTTCTGGTATTAACATTTGGCAGAGCAAGGTATGATTTATTGCATCACATCTGCCTTTTTTTTTTTTTCCGCAGCAAAATGTAATTTTACCTGAATTGCGAGAATTGTGTTGCTCTTTCCCAACTGGTTGAATAGAATCGTGGATGGAAAGGGCTCCTAGAGCCCCATTTAAACTCCACCTCCTTTCTTTTATATAGGAGAAACCTTTGTGCCCAGAAATAACCTAAAGAAATAGTGACATATGCTGCGTCTTCCTTTATTAAGAATGTGGTGCATCCAGTCATTGTGCCACCCAGTGAAATAGATGTATTGAATCCTGACAGCTGCTATGAGTTTGTTCTCTCCCAAAGGGCTCTCATTCTCTGTAGTTAAAGCTTAGTAGTGAACCTTCGCTTTTTAGGAAGGCAAACGGGGGCAGAATATACCTGTCATTTCTTAACATGCAAAAATAACCTCGTTATGTTCAGGGGATGTGTTTTGGTGCTCTATGTGGAACCAGTTAAAGGTGTCATTGACTCTTAAGTTATTTCACTTCGTGAGTCCTGTAGACAAGATTTGGTTATGTTTTTAAATTTAATTTTGCTCTCCCCTATTTTTATTTATTTATTTTTTTAAATATTAGAGATGGAGTGTGTCAAGTAACTATTAGAACCTGGTAGATTAAAGGGTTCACATCCTTTCAAATCACCAGATCTGAAGTGAGCTCTTGGGAGAGTTTGGCCAAACTCGGATAAAATGAGAGCCCTAGTTAAAATCCTTTTAAATTGTTTATGTAATTTGTATCAAAAGAAGAGTTTGGGAAAGTAGTTTACTTTTCTCAAACCTACATTTTCTTTTTTTACCTGCTATGTCTTTTCCCTTTTTTTCTCTATTTCTTAAAATAATTTTTGAGTATGTGGTAAAAAATCCTATGCTCAAATGCTGTTTTCAACTGACATTGGTTTTAACTTTTTATCATGCACAGGTTTTTGAAAAAGCTTAAGTTCAAATGTGAGCCTAAGTTAAATACTTGGAAAAATGCACGGTTGTAATGAGAGCTGGTTTTTCCTTTTTTTCAATCTGGTTAATTTATTATTATTTGCTTGCTGGTTCTTTGACTTTTGGCTGAACCTTATGGAATAGCTACTTCTGAAATTGTTTCCTGCCATTCTTCTGTAACTAAATCAATTTGGAGTTTTTGCCATCATTTTCAACTTCTGTACTCCTCTGTATTTGTTTATTTTGTCTTTTGCTCTTTGTGACTTCAAGAAAAATCTGATGTGATCTGTGAAATGTGTTGCTGAAGAATTAACACTGAAAGTACTGTTTTCCTTGAAATCTATTTTCTATAGTATTTATATAAGCTATGATATTTTTTTTTAACAAGGTGTTAAGACTGGTCTCAGACCTCTGACAGCAGTGCGTTAACATTATTTAACTCTGTCATGTACTAAACCGTTTCCCTTATATTTTACGTGTGGTGTAAAGCTTAAAAAATACATATGACAGCATTCTAGTTTAAAAGCATTCACATAGAAAAATTCTTAGTTAAGTAGAAATAAAATTTAAATTTGAATGAAAATACAAATATGTACATTTTATTTACATTTTTAAAAGCCTACTTATATCTCTTAAACAAAGATTCTTAAATTTATACAGTCTGTGACTACATGTTCTTGTGTGTTGCTGTTGGGTTCCTGAATTTGGGATGAGACATTGGTTATTGAGTTCTGATAGCAAGGTATGTTGAGTGAGCTAAATCCTGGGTTTCGGATAGTGACAGTCTGGGTACCAAGTGTTGTATGTGAGAATTCAAATCTGGTTTCTGAGTTTTGGAAAGCGAGAGTCGAAGAGTGGGAGTTCAGGTAACAAGGGATCCCTGTATTATCTCTATGCATATCCTTGGGTTTTATTAGTTTATTTTTATATTTGCTTAGTAGGTGGTCAGTTGTAGCCTACCACATCTGAAAACACAGTCTATCGTGAAAGTATTCTTCTAATTTAAGCAATGAAATACGTTTTAAATTTAGAGATCATTCAAATAGTAAGCTTAAAACGTGAGATATAAAACAAACTAATGGATAAACGTTAACTTATTTAAAAATAATGCAGAAAGGTAGCATTTTCACAGACTTAATTGGTACTAAGATCATAGCTATTTTGGGTATGGGTCAAAAAAACATATTTCTTAATTTGGAAACTACAAACTGATAATTGATCCTAACTTTGTGTATGTGGAGAAGGGCGCAGGGTAGAGGGATGAGACACCTTACTTTAACGGATGAGTAATGGAAAATAAGTCGTGGCCATTATTTTTTATTCACAGTATTTAAGAGATACTTGTTGAATTGTTTTTTCTTTATTATGAACTAATTTATTATAGTAGGTGTATAAACTCTGGAGTTTGTCACTGATTAGATATGTGATCTAGAGCAAATTTTAAAACTTTATACCTAGTCGCTTCCTCTGGATGACAGTGGCATCTACTTTATAGATTAAACTGAATGAGATAACACATGTGAAATGCTCAATACAGTTCGTAGCATTTAGTAAATGCTCAACAAATATTAGCTATTATTATGCTCAGTAATTATCATTTTAATTGAATCTTAATTCTGAGTCTGCTTACTTTTAAATACTATACATGTTTCTGAAAAGTTGGATACAGATTAATTAATATTTAAAAAGTATACCAGAAGCTTATTGTCTCAAGAACATTTTATAACCAAACTGATTAGCAAGAAATGAATATTGTGTGTCTGCCCTGGGTCAAACCCTTCTTTTATGAAGCTTCCCATCCAGGAGGGCATTAAATAAATAAATTTATTTTTGAGGCGGGATGAGTGTTACGAAGTTGTTCTCAATGCTATCGTAATGGGGTGATAACCTTCCATATGGCTGGTGTAGAGATTGCCCTGTGGGGCTAGGTGAAGAGGGCAGCATCGCCTCCTTATTGTCATTAAAAAGATTTGAATTAGTTGCCAGCATTCACATATCAGGAGATTTCACATAAAAGTCTGAACTTCTGATTTCTCTTGAAAAAGTAGAGGAAATGGCAATACCTATATCTTTATTTTCGGATGGCAGTGCTCAGCTGGATTTGGACAGCAGCTACTCCCTCTAGAGGGGCACATGCTCTTCATTTCATGCCAGTCGGTTAAATTGCCAGATAAGTAAATCTATTGAATCAATATTTAAGCTAGTGTTGAGTGGGGAATCTCTAGGCAGGATCCTGGAGAGTTTGTAGTTAAGTATTTTGGTCTTTGTCCTAAGTCTTATGGGAAGTCGTTGAAGGGTTTTCATTAAAGCAAGGATGAATGATGTAATCATTTTTAAAAAAATAATCACTTTGGTTGCAGTGTAAACACTGGACTGGAGAGAGAAGCAGGAGGAAATGCAGTGAAATAAGTTAGGACATTCTGGGTCACAGAGGATGTTGGCTTAGACCACAGTGGTGGTAGTGGAAGAGGAGGAAACTTGGTGAAGAAAAGTGGTTAAGAGATGTTAAACTGTTAAGTTTCATAGAAATTGGTGGTTGATCGAATATGGGGGCTCAGGTAGAAGGAGAAGGAAGTCCAGGTTATCTCCCAGTTTCTGGGTGACATGACCGTGGATTACTGAGAAGTATATACTTTGTTTAATTAATATTTAAATTTATGTAATTTTTATTATATGAAATTAAGATTAAGTCTTTTCATGAGAAAACATATGTTCCTTTCTATTAACTGGCTCATAAATAATTCAGAGTTTTCAAACACTGTTTACCTTCCAGATGATGATAAAGTGTGTAATTTGATGTTGATGAGAGTCATTTTTAACATCTGTGATTTTTTTAATTAAATTTATTGGGGTGACATTGGTTACTAAAATCACATAGGTTTTGAGTGTATAATTCTATAACATGTCATCTGTATATTGCATTGTGTGTTCACCAGCCAGAGTTAAATTTCTTTCTGTCACCATATATTTACCCTCATCTACCTCCCTCTTTCCTGCCCCCTCTGGTAACCACTAAACTCTGCTGTGTCCACCAGTCTCTATTTGTCTTGTCCGTTTTTTGCTTTCAGATTTATATCCCCCATATAAGTGAAATCATATGGTTTTCAACTTTTTCTATCTGACTTATTTTGCTTAGCATGATAATCTTGAGATCCATCTCTGTTGTTGCAAACAGCAGTATGTCATCTTATGGCTGAGTAACATTCTGTTGTATGTATGTACCACAGCTTCCTTATCCAGCCATCTATCGAAGGACACTTTAGATGTTCCCATGTCTCGGCCACTGTGAATAATGCTACAGTGGACATCGGGGTGCATATATCTTTGTGGATAAATGTTTTCAAACTTTTTGGGTAAATACCCAGAAGAGAGATTGCTGGGTCACATGGTAATTCTGTGCTTAGTTTATTGAGGAACCTGCATACTGTTTTCCACAGTGGCTGTACCAGTTTACATCCCCACCAGCAGTGTATGAAGATTCCTTTTTCCCCACAACCTCTCCAGCACTTGTTATTCCTTGTCCTGTTGATATAGCCATTCTAACAAGTGTGAGGTGGTATCTCATTGTGGTTTTGATTGCAATTTCCCTAATAGCTAGTGAAATAGAGCATCTTTGTGGCAGCCATTTGTGTGTCTTCTTGGGAGAATTGTCTCTTTAGGTCCTCTGCCCATTTTTTAATTATATTGTTTGTTTTTTATTGTTGAGTTGCAGGAGTTCTTTGTATATTTTGGACATTAGGCCCTTATTGGAGGCGTTGTTTGCACATATATTCTCCCATTCAGTGTTGGTTGCTTCTTTGTCTCCATCTGTGATTTTTAAAGTAACCAAAACAGATATTTGTTATAATACATGTGAATGTTATGCATATATAATATACTCATATACATGAAGTATCGTGTTTATAATTTGTGTACACCATAGACCTAATTAAAATTTTACTTCTTAATTTCTTTCACTTTTTTTGAAAATGACATTTATTTTATATAATGGCATTGTAGCATAGA